ACAACAATGGTAGAGTAGAACGAAGTATAAGAATTGTGTTTTAGTTGATGTTGAATAATGATGAAGTCCATGATACGCATGTACTATTTAAGGCTCACTAGATGTCAATAGCTGCATCCTAGTAAGTGACGTTCCCACTGAAACTCGAACCCAGGACATACCGCTTCAAACACCATCAGTCACTGTGGTGGGGGGTAGGCACATCCAACCGACGGGTCCCAAGTGGGAGGAAACACACATTCTGGCTTCCACTACTAGTTATCACCAGGTAATTAATATCAAAATGAAACTTGAAGTAATGTAGTAGCATCTGCACAGGATCTCATATACTAAAAGAGGTTGATTAATATGATCTAGTATAAGAGAGAAATTAAGAGTGTGAATGACTGTAATTGGTATATGTTAGCTTCGAATTCCACGATTTGGTACTCGATTACTTAAACTACTAATTCGCTTATAGCCCGAAGAGATTTATTAAACTTTCAGATTTGTTGATCTATTATCATTATTATTTGTCCCTTGGGTTCCTAGTGGAACATATGGCTTCAGTAGCACACCTTCATTGCACTCTCTTCTCTGCAGTCTTGAACCTCACTCCACGACTGCCCGGAAGCTTTCATTTCTTTCTCACACGATCTCCTCCATGTCACTCTCGCCTCGAACACTCAACTCGTCGTTTCCCTTTTGGATTCCACTCTAGGGTCTGGCGCGTGATGTCCTCACTCGGCCTTCTCAGTGTATGCCCAATCCATCTCCACTTTCATCCTCTGCATTTTTGTTGGGTGGTAGGTTCTTGGCTGGTTCGTTGCCAGCCAGAGTGAGTTCCTTGTTGCATATTCTTATTATTCTGGCCTTCTGATCTTCAGTATCGAGTGAGCACAGGCGGCAGCTGATGATGTGGTGTATGTCTGTAGTTTGTTGGAAATGCTTTTCGTAACGCGCCAAGTCTCGCAACCATCACATAGAAGCACTGGCTTGACTGAATTAGTGTTGAAAATCCGGATGTCGTTCACGCTTAATGCTGAGTGCAGAAGATCTCCACAGTGACTTCAGATTAATGGAAGTCTGTCTTGCTTTGCCGATCCTGGTTTCGACGTCCTCGTCTATGCCGCCTGAAGTGTAAACGATGGTGCCTAGGCAGGTAGGAGAAAGAGACAACATACTTTAGATTTCTCCCGTTGATGGTGATTGGGTGTCTTCATTACCTCTGCCTTCTCTACATTCACTTGAAGTCCCATCTTCGATACCTCTTCTGTTTACTTGTTAGTTTTTGCCTGTGGATCTTCGAGTTTGTGCGACAAGACATTAGACATATATCATCATCGGCGAAATCCAAATCTTTTAGGCTCTTTTCCTCGGTCCAGCCGACGCATGCCCATCTTCTCGCTCCTTACAGTTAGTTGCATGATCTAGTCCAGTCGACCACAATCAGGAAGGTTATCGGTGATAGTAGGCAGCCTTATCTTTCCCCTATTTTCACTTCAAAGGCGTCACTGAGCCTTCCACTGTGGATCACTTGGCATGTGGCGTCTTCATATAGCTGTTGAGTGAGGTTGATAAAGATTTGTGATACTCCGTAATGTTGGAGCAACTGACAAATTACTTCTCAATCGAGGCTATCGAAGGCCTTTTCAAAATCGATAAAGTTGAGGTAGACAGTTGACTGCCATTCTATGCTCTGTTCTATGATGATGCTCAGGGTAGTGTTGCAATTTGATGCACACATGATTTGTTCTTCCTGAAGTCAGCCAGCCAGCCGGCCAGACTGTTTCGGTCGTAATTTTGAATCCAGTGCATGTTTTATTCTCCCCAGTATGATGCGGCATAATATTTTGCTTGGTGTGGGTGGATAGGAGCATGACTCCGTGCCAGTTCTTGCAAAGGCTTAGGTTACCGTTCTTTAGAAGTTTGACAAACTAGCCCTTCTTGCAATCAATGGACAGCTACCTGTCCTTCCTTCCTTCCTTGCAAACCGTCTACAGTAGTGGTGTGAATGTGTCCTCTGTTGTCTCTGCGTCTATTTTCAGTACTTCTGGCGGAATTCCATCTGGTTCTGCTGCTTTCCCGGATTTCAGCAACTTTTTGGCGTTCAGGACTTCATTTCTGCTTTCGTCGAAAGGCTTGCGTTCACTGTCGTCGATTCTGCGATCGCTGGTCGTATTTCTGAACGAGTTGCAGATGGTGGTGGTGGTGGTGGTGTTGGTGATAGTCGATTCAAGAGTATTTTGAAGTGGTCAGCCCATCGTCTCCTTTGTTTCTTTTCTTTGGTAACTTAGTTTCCTTCACTATCTCTCATTGGTTTCACCTGTTCTGATCTCTTCCCTCCTAGACAGTAGCCTGGTTATTTAATATAATGTTATCAGGTCTTTCCTATCAACAGCCTGTTCTGCTCAAAGTGCCAATGTGTCGTAGAAGTGTCTTTTCTCTTTCCACCCACTCTTCTTCACTTCCTTGTCCAGTGTAGTGTTTTATAGGTTGTGTTCAATTCCTCTTTTCTTTGTTCATCCTTGCACTGCACTGGTTCAACTTAAGATTCACCATCTTCCTCTCCCTGCTCTATCAGCTTTCATGCATCCTTGGAGATCCATTCCTTGCCTTGTCTTGCTCCTCTTTCCCCCCTAACACAGTTATGCAGGTTTCCTTCCACCTTGCTTTCAAACATTTCCAGTGTTGATCCACACAGGTTTCTTAACAGGTGTTGCACAATATCCCCCATTTTGTTCTGATGACTGATGACGTGAAGATGTGCTTTGTTGTCTCGTCTTTCAGTTTCTGTTCCCGGTGTTCAACTTGAACTGTGGTCGATCAACAACTTCTTTGAAGGCTTTCAACTTGATTTTCAGGGTAGGTTCCCTGCACTAGATAGTGAATGGTGTGAACCTACATCTACTCCCCTTCTCCATCTGATCTCGTGTCCAGTAGGCTGACTGCGTCTCCACTTTCTTCACATTGAGATGAAGTCGATCTGATTTTTAGTGTAGTGTGTGTCCTGGTGTCTGGTGAAATCAAATCCATGCCACTGCTTTGTGAATATCCTTGTGTTTGTACACACTACCTCCAATCACCAAATCGTTGAATGCACAGAAGTCTGCAAACGGTTCTTCATTCTCGTTCATCACTTCACCGAGTGCTTCTTGACCCATGATCAGTTCTCTTCCTGTGTTGTCCCCTCCCAGTTTGGCATTCATGTCACCCACCCATTCGAATTTTGATGTCGCCAACTGGGGAGGTGTCTTGCCCAGTGCTGATTGCAGTTGTCTGTGGAATTCCTCCTTCTTCTCTTCATCTGCATTGTTTGTAGGTGGATAGCGTAGCACTCACTGTATGATTGTGACTTTCCTTCCTTTTAAGTTGAATCCATCTTGCTGTGATGATCCTGATCGTGGAGGAGATGTGTTCCCACTACACAAGAGAGAGCCTTTGATGCTGTTGGGGACATCATGATAACCACTCGAGATTTCAGTGTGCTCGTGGTTGTCGTCTGGTTGACAATATTCGAGTAGATTATTGACTCCTTCCCAGTTGATAGTTTGGAGAGTCCACTTCCATTCCATCTGCTTTCACAGATTCCCAGCGTAGCATTTTTACGCCATACCTTCTCATCTCTTTTGCAAACTGAGAAGTCTTGCCAGCCCCAACCCCAATGTTTACTTTTGCTTTCATAGAGAGAGAGAGAGAAGACACATCGGCCAATTGGCTTCCTGAAGGCTTTCACCAACTGGCGTCATTTCGTCTCTCCGATTCCAGCGAGGAATAAGTTTAATTTTATGTTTCATATTTTCTTTGTGTATGAAGTTTGTTTAGCAACTGGATTAGTTTCATGTGGTAGGGTTGCTAGACGTATGCCCAACGTTTCCTCTTTATCCGGGCTTAGCACCGGCTAGTAATTAGTGAACTAAGTATGGCATGTGTGGTGAAAGCACAAATTTTCCTACAAACCTAACATAAAAGTAATAAGCATAGGGAGCAGGACGAAAACCATCAACAGTGTACAGAAATGCAAACTAGAATCTGAGACATATGCTAAAATAAATGATGATTTTACCAGGGCACAGAATCCTTGTCACTTGAAGGAGTATTCGAACCCACGATTCATGAGTGGTAAAACAATAAACCTCACCACCTTACTGTTGGTAGATAAGCATTCAAATATCTAACGTTTAGTTTCTGGTGCTGTGTTAGTTAGACAGATAAAATCAACGTAGAAGCTTGCATACAAGTAAATCAGTTCAAATTGCCAAACTTCACAGTAGTATACACAGAAAAAGCGGATAGAAAAACAGTGATATCAAAGAAGAGAAAGATATGTGAGAGAACAAACAATCTGAAGACAAGGGATAATGCCAATATTCAAACTTTAGAATATGTTAAGGAGTAAATATATCTGTACCATTGTGACCGATTTCCAACCATGTCACCAAAAGTCCTCAATCACTGATTCCTATCGTCTTGGGGACCCTAGCCAAGCAGTCTACATCTCCCCATACGGCTCAGACTAACTGTCAGGGACTTCATGGATTGGTGCCAAGATTTGGTCTGGCCACAATCTCCCAACTTAACCTAGCTTCCTCTAGTACTTCACGTCAATGCAGGTAGTAGCTCGGCATTCGCAATGCCATGTCCAAGACACTTCAAACGATCAAGGTTCATAATTTCATCAATCGACTTGGCTACGTGTAAATGTATTCAACCTCGGCAATAACTGAAAATCAACTGAAGAAATGCGAAAAGCTTAAGAACAATAAGCTATCTACATTAAAAATAACTGATCGTTTCACAATACTAACCGTAGATGTTTGAAATGAAATTCACCTTAATCAATAAAACTTGTTAACTAGATTTACATATCAATTCTAACCCCGATAAATATTCTTATCTTTTTTAGTACGACTGAGTGAATGCTTACATATATTTGGTTTTAAATTCATACATATGAAATATACACCAAAGCAAACCAAAGCATACAAGAGAAATTAAGGCAAATTTGAACATATCCTTACCATATAAATCGACCACAACGACACAAACTGCCTTGATTAGAAATCAAATTGCTACTTGGTATGCGAAACTAAAATGTGTAAAAGAAAAAAAGAGGATATAAATAAAAGTAAGATTACTTTGTTGCTTCAGTAAACTATGACCTACAAAAGAAATACGCTAGACTTTTTGTAACACACAGGTACTTTCAATACAAAGTACGAATACCACAACATATTCTACTTATTCTCTTGTTACAATTTAATGCATAAATTATATACCCGACTATTCACATTGGAAATATGGACTAGTGGATTCCGACTAAGTGTCTGAATGGTAAAGTGCTGACTACGGGACCCGAAGGTCCTGGGCTCAATCCCTTGCAAGGTGGGATCATGGGTGCGCACTGCTGAGGAGTCCCATACTAAGAAGAAACAGCTGCCCAGTTCTCCCGGGTTTCCAAGGTTCCTGCAACTGATGTTAGCCCATGATGAATACCAACTTAGAAAATCATTAAATCCCCACAAACCACCAAATTAAATAATCACTTTGGGCTCAGTGATTAAACGAAGATGTATGCGATAAGACTGGCGACACTATCTTGTTGCCCAGACCTCGGTAGCTGGAGTACGTTTTGAATCCGTGATCTACTACATAAAAGTCGAGTGGTTAGACCAATGAGCAATAGTTTCGCACACCCTCATAGTACGAGTAGAATGGAGAAAACACAGAGTTAGTCAGACTGAAACACAACACACTCATCTATAAAATTTCTGACTTGTAATTCTTGCAGTAGGCAATGAGCCACATCAGTTGTGTGAAGGCTAATGATACTACCTGCCAGTCCAAACCTGGACACGACTAACAAGACAGTCAAAAACGATGGATAAAGACTGAAGGATGTAAGCATAAAATGAATCCCAGTGGAGATGCGTTCATACGTTGTGTTCCTTGATACCTTACTTCTAGCCTCTGTTACAATCTTCAATTTCTATAAAATGAAAAAACCTTTTGATAATGATATCTCCTCCGAATGTGGCTAAGCTACCTCACTCAGCAAGTATAAGTTGATGAATATATAACGGAAAGCTGCCTACTGTTTCTAACAGCTATAAAACCCATTTATGCGTAAATTAAGCGTGTTTAATTGACCAGGACAATAAATAAAACCATGTATAGTCCAAAGACAATTTCTTCACGCTATATACTACTGTTTGATTGAGTTTTCATCAAGATAGGATCTTAAGAAAATAATCGATCAATAACGACATAGGACCAGGCATTACTGCGTAACAGTCCGAATTGCCACACCTCATATCAGCACATCAAGTAAAAAGGTAGTGAGGTGAAGGATGAAGATAAGTGAATGCAGTCAAAAGAAATGTAAAGTACAGGAAGAAAGAAATGAATAGTGACAAAATGGTGAGATTCGGTATAGCGTCGTTAGGATGAGGATAATGTGTGTATACATCTGCGCTACCGACTTTGGTTCTCAGCCATATCACCTAGAGTCTCCAACCACTGATTCCTCTTGTCCCGCGGACCCCAACCACCTAGTCTGCATCGCCCTACATGGCTTAAAACAACAGTCAGAGACTTCATACATTGGAGCCATGTTTTAGTCTGGCCACCTCGGGCGTTCTTCCAGTCTGGACCTATTTCGGCCAAAATTGTGTGACGAAAAGAAGGCCCTGAAGAAAATTCTCTCGCATTAAATTTTAAGTTCATCTCATATAGTTCACAGTGGAGCAGTATTATTCACTAGATGACCTTTTGAGCACAGTCTACTGCTCATAATCAATCTTTCTCCAAAGCTAAACAGAATCAACAGTGTATATATTCACCTTGAATGAAACACATTGGAATATCGTGCCATACAATCTATGTACCTAATACTGTACTAGCAGGTACACAAATAAGCGTCAATAAGTGATTACCTAAGGTAATTTCTTCTGTGTAGCAATATAACAATGAATGACTAGTATACTTTATCTTCAGCGTGGTAGTATATAATGTTTTGCATACTCACCACACTAAATGATCTCTATGAACGCTATCGGGTTACGACATTTTAAACTGGATTTGTTTAAACGCAATAATTGTATCAAATAACTCGATAGGATCCAATTTGTTAAGCCTTCGACTTGAAAATCATTTACTGATCAACTTCGAAACTCTGAAATGATCAAATGTGTGAAGTCCAAGTATTTATTCAAATGTTAAGATTTCCTATAAACCTGCGCAGATAGCGAAATCACAAACACCACTTTTAGAAATGTACCACCCATACGACTGGAGCAAAACACGAAGACGAATAACAAAGAGTTAACAGCACAACGAATTATTCGCCAGCACTTAAAGACTGCAAAGAGTAACCGTTGAAAGCCGGTGACTAAAGAAGTATTCAATTGAAAGTGGATTTGAAGCACTGCACACTGATAGAATTCGGGTGTATTGGGGTTAATAAAGGGAGTTAGAATCCAGCAGTTAAACAGTATGTAATTAAAAGACTTCAAAGTCAATCGCAATGGCATCAATGTATTGACTTCATACCCTTTTTCTAAGTTTCCATCGCTTCATCTATTTATATACCCTTTTTGTTTCGTGTTCATTCAAAGTCATCCATTTGGCTTTTAATATCTTTCTTGTTAGTTTCTCTATCACAGTTGTTGAGAAGTACAGTACCCAGTGAATGAGTTCAACAGCTTACGTTCTATGTCAATACTCAAAAAGTCATATTATGTGACAGGTGTTTAACTGGTAAATTGATCATAAATAACTTATTACTTTATTAGAACTAAAAATATCTTTGTGATGTGGTTGATGACGAATAGCGAACAATTACAAACAAATCAAAATGATAACAGAATAACAAACAGTAATTAAAAGACAAAACGTTTTTTTATATATTTATTTATCTTTAGTAGTCCACTGTATGTACACACACACACACATGCACGTGTCAATTTTTACACTGAAGTGTGAACAAATATTTCAGTTGATAATAAATGAACGAGAACGTTTCCTTCGTAAAAGTAATGCTTTATAATCTTCCTCCATTTTATAACGATCCATTAATTTCGGTTGGACAATATCAACTTTTGGTAAGTTAACAGTGAATTCTACTGCATGTGGAATAGACTGATTAGCTTTCAGGAAATCTTGGATATCAGGTGGTAGACAGGTCAAGTCGAATGAAGAGATATCCACATGCTGACCATTAAGTTTAAGTAATTCATTCAATTGATCCGTTGGTAAGTAATCGTAATAATCATTATAGTTATATAAATAGAAAGGCAAACACACTTGAATTGTACCTGAACAACGAGAAAATGTTAAACAATGGAATGAAAGAAAAGAACATGCGTAGTGTATGTAGAGAAGCATAAAAGTGTTTACTTCCTGTGTTATTACTTTTGTTAAACTTCTTTTTTAAACTATGCAGATGATAAGCGAAGTAGACAGATAACATAGATCTCAGTATGATACGAACTAATGGCCAATAGTTTAATAATCCAGTATTCAACCTATAGAGTCATATGATGGAACTACTTATCAGACCTCCATTTCACTTCAATAATTGGGAGTTTTGCCTAGGTGCCATGCAGCTGTAACTACTTATCTAGCCAGGTCTTGTAATATTGACATGTATTATCGACTACCCTGAGAACAGCTGTCTAGATTACTGATAGGAATTTACAGTAGCCAAGAACAACAGTGTAAATTTTTGAATGACTATAGGTACTCAAACTCCATTTGTTAATCAAGTCAATTTTTTTCCTAACATAACATTTTACAAGAATCAGCGCATTTTTTTTGCCGTACAACTATTGCCTGTTTCTATCATCTAAGTTGAGAATGAGATGAAGATGATGATGGATAGTAAATCATGCTATATTAAACGATGATTTCAGTTAAGTGTCAAAGTTGCCTACTAGCATAAGATATTTCGGTTCAATTGCGCTAGTGTTTGTAAGTAGTAAAGAGAGAGAATGAACGACTTCCATTACAGTTTAGTAAACAACTGTAGTCCAACCAATGAAAACTTTAAGCGAATGGGATATTAGCTTAAGACAGCTGCTGAAAAACCACTGAGACAACCCTACTGTAAAACATCTATAGTTTACCAATTAATACACCTAATTACATCTAATTCCGTCACCATTACACTTCAATGTGTTCAACTGAAGAAATTACACTGATTTAAAACTGTTTTCCCTCTCATACCCATAAACGTGTAGTTAATCACCACAAGATTAAGAAAAATACTCTTGGTGTTTAAGAACTTCATAGTTATATGTGAGTGAAGCATGAGCCTAACCTTATGGCCCATGATGCAAAGATTTTAAGGCAGCATTCAGCACAGATTGACATCAGTTGGAGAACCATTGAAAACCTGGAAGCACTAAACAGCTATTTCATTTTCCCAGGTTTTCTACGGTTCTCCAACTGATGTAAGTCCGTGATGAATAATACCTTAAAAACAAATCCCCATTAATCCCAGAATACATTACTGCATGGTGCTCATTGGTGACATGCTTCCAGATGGATATCCCGAAGTTCTGATGCGAAGCCACGACCTGTGGAGTCAACTAATCGCAAGGGATGCAGATGTCAACTGAAGACCTAGGATGATAGTCGCGCTATATCGTGACTTGACAGAAGTAGGGGACCGAGAACCATCAACCTTTGCTCTAGTGGCTGAATGGTTAGCGCGCTCGCCAGGAAACCCGAAGGTCCTGAGTTCGATTCCTGGAGGGATCATGGGTGCGCACTGATGAGGATTCCCACACTGGGACGAAACAGCTGTCCAGTACCTCCAAGTTCCCAGTGGCTCTCCAAATGATGTTAGTTTCCTGATGATAACCACTTTTAAACTAAAATTCCCAGTAACCTCAAAATATGTAAAGATTTGTTTCGATAAATAGGGTACTTTTACAATCACCTGTAATAAACCTAAATTCAAAAAAGATGCACCAGAATACCACACCACTTAACACTTTCAAACGTTTCAACCCAGTTATGAACAAGTAAATCTATCTTCGAAGGTGTATAGTAGTGCTTACTGCTGTTAAGGTTTACAAGTTATTCACTTGAACAAGAATGGGAAAACGATAAATTTAATCACTTTTCTGCAGCAAAAGTTTCGACAGTGTTTCAAAACATGCGTTACAACAACACTGAATCACTGAACCTGCTACTGAGTTATAGTCCTAATAAGGATTCACTCCCTTCAATTCAAACATTTTAAATGGATAGCCAGTGCAGTGAGGAACAGACAGTCATGTATCTTCACGTCACATGACACGGATAAAATACTCAATGGTTGGTTTGACACTGAAAAGGGAGTATTAGTTACCGCTGAAGAATAAATTGGTAAAGTGACAAGAAGCTGATTCGATGGTCATATGCTTAGAATCCTGCTGGGATCCTTATTTTATAACGACATAAGCCATCAACCCTGATTTTCATTCATATCTTCAACTTCGTTCATTGAGGATAATAAATAAACTATGTATTCTACTTCCTATCAGTTTTAAACAGCTTAGGACATCTACTAAATACTGGACCCTTGGGTGATACCATATCTTGATTTGAAACTATATTATTTATTTTTTTTATTATTATACCCCCTTGGGTTCCTAGTGGAACATAGGGCTTCAGTAGCACGTCTCCAGTGACCTCTGTTCTCTGAGATCTTTTGAACCTGGTTCCACGACAGCCCACAACCTCTCGTTTCCTCCTCGCACGACCTCCTCCATGTCACCCTCGACACCAGCGCCCAACTCGTCGCTTCCCATGGGGATTCCACTCGAGCAACTGGCCTGACGCGTGATGTCCCCAGTTGGCCTTCTCAGTGCATGCCCAATCCATCTCCACTTCTTCCTGCATATTTGTTGAGCGATAGCTTCTTGGTTGGTTCGTTGACAGCCACAGTTCCTTGTTGCTTATTCTTTCTGGCCATCTGATCTTCAGTAGCGAGCGTAAGCAGTTGTTGATGAATGTCTGTAGTTTATTGGAAATCCCTTTCGTGACGCGCCAAGTCTCTGAGCCATACAGAAGCACTGACTTCACGTTGGTGTTGAAAATCCGTATCTTGTTCCGCATGCTGAGTGCAGAAGATCTCCACACTGGTTTCAGGCTAATGAACGCCTGTCTTGCTTTTCCGATTCTGACTTTGACATCCTCGTCTGTGCCTGTGCTGCCTGTAGTTGAAACAGTGCTTCCTAGATAAGTGAAGGAGGTTACTTCCTTTAAGTTTCTCCCGTTGACGGTGACTGGAGTTTGTTGTTGTTGTTGGTGCGGTATCTTCATCACCTCTGTCTTCTCCACATTCACTTGAAGTCCCGTCTTCGCTGCCTCACCTCTTCTGCCAACTTGTTAGTTTCCACCTGTAGATCTTCAAGTTTATGTGACATTAGGCACAAGTCATCGGCGAAATCCAAGTCTTCTAGGTTCTTTTCCGCAGTCCAGCCAGTGTATCCCCCTCTTCTCACAGCTCCCCACTGTTTGCTGCATGATCCAGTAGACCACAATCAGGAATGTTATGGGGGATAGTAGGCAACCTTGTTTCACTCCTGTCTTCACTTCACTTCAAAAGCATCACTGAGCTTCCCATTGTGAATTACTTGGCATGTGGTGTCTTCAGATAGTTGTTGAATGAGGCGGATAAAGGCTTGCGGTATTCCGTAGTATTGAAGTAGTTTCCAAACTACTTGTGGGTCGACGCTGTGAAAGGCCTTCTCAAAGTCGATAAAGTTGAGGTAGAGAGTTGACTGCCATTCTTTGCTCTGTTCTATGATGATGCGAAGCGTTGCAATTCGGTCTGCACATGATTTGTACTTCCTGAAGCCAGCCTGCCTGTTCCGGTCGTAGTTTTGAATCCAGTGCATCCTTAAGCCTCTCCAGGGTGATGCGGCTTAATATTTTACTTGGGGTGGACAGGAGAGTGATTCCGCGCCAGTTCTTGCAAACACTGAGGTCTCCCTTCTTCGGCAGTTTGACAAGGTAACCCTTCTTCCAATCACTAGCCAGGTACCTTCTCTTCCTTCTACACCTTCTGTAATAGTGGTGTGAGTATGTCCGCTGTTGTCTCTGCATCTGTTCTCAGTGCTTCTGGTGGGATCCCGTCTGGTCCTGCTGCTTTCCCACATTTCAGTAGCTTTATGGCGTTCAGGACTTCCATTTTCGTTGGGGGATTAATGTTCACTTGTAGTTCAGCGGCTGCAGGTGGTATTTCTGGACGAAGTGCAGGTGGTGGTCGATTCAAGAGCTTCTTGAAGTGGTCGGCCCATCGCTTCCTCTGTTTCTCTTCTTTTGTAATTAAATTTCCTTCTTCATCTTTTATTGGTTTCATCTGTGTTGGTCTCTTCCCTGATAGCAACCTGGTTATTTGATACAATGTCGTCAGGTCTCTCTTACCTGCAGCCTGTTCTGCTTCACTTGCCAGTGTGTCGTAGAAGTGTCTTTTGTCTTTGCGTGCACTCTTCTTCACTTCTTTGTCCAGTGTTTTATACATTGTGCTCAGTTCTTCTTGTCGTTGAGCATCCATGCACTGGTTTATCTTCTGTTTCACCATCCTCCTCTCCTCTATCAGCTTCCAGGTATCCGTCGAAATCCATTCCTTGTCTTCTTTCTTCTTCCTTCTTAATACTATTGTGCAGGTTTCTTTCCACATAGCTTTCAAAGACTTCCAGTGTTGATCCACACACGTTTCTTTGGGGATGTTCCTCGATATCTCCCATTTTGTCTTGATGGCTGCCGTGAAGATCTCCTTTGTAGTTTCATCCTTCAGTTTCCGAGTGTTGTACTTGAATTGAGGTCTATCACCAGCTTCCTTGAAGGCTTTCAACTTGATTTGGAAGGTTCCTTGCACCAGATAGTGAATGGTGTGAACCTACATCTACTCCCCTTCTTCATCTGATCTCGTGTCCAGTAGGCTGACTGCGTCTCCACTTTCTTCACATTGAGATGAAGTCGATCTGATTTTTAGTGTAGTGTGTGTCCTGGTGTCTGGTGAAATCAAATCCATGCCACTGCTTTGTGAATATCCTTGTGTTTGTACACACTACCTCCAATCACCAAATCGTTGAATGCACAGAAGTCTGCAAACGGTTCTTCATTCTCGTTCATCACTTCACCGAGTGCTTCTTGACCCATGATCAGTTCTCTTCCTGTGTTGTCCCCTCCCAGTTTGGCATTCATGTCGCCCATCAGAATTTTGATATCACCAACTGACGTCTTGTCCAGTGTTGATTGAAGTCTGTAGAATTCCTCCTTTTTCTCTTGCTCTGCATTATTTGTAGGTGCATAGCATTGTATGACTGTGACCTTCCTTCCTTTTGAGTTGAATCTTGCTGTCATGATCCTGGAGGAGATTGGTTCCCACTGCATGAGAGCCTTTGATGCCGTTGAGGACATCATGATAGCCACTCCCTCAGTGTGCTAGTGGTTGTCGTCTGGGTGCCAATATCGGAGTAGATTATTGATTCTCCAGTTGACAGTTTGGAGACTCCACTCCCATTCCATCTGGTTTCGCAAATCCCAAGCACTTCAATGTGATACCTTCTCATCTCCTTTGCAATCTGGGCTGCCTTACTGGGTTCAAACATCGTACGGACATTCCATGTCCCCACTTTTTTACTTTCGCTTTCATCGAGGGAGAGAAGACACATCGGCCAATTGGCTTCCCGGAGGCTTTCACCAACTGGCGTCATTTCGCCTCTCCGATTCCAGCAAGGAATAATTTTGTTTTCATTTTTTATATTTTGTTTGTCCTTTGAAGTTTCTTTAGCGGTTAGATTTGTTTTACGGGGTAGGGTTGCTAGCCGTATGCCCAACCTTCCCTCTTTACCCGGGCTTAGGACCGGCTAGTAACTAGTGAACTATATACCCTGATGTTATTTATCAACCTAAAACAAAAACACTCAGTTTAAAGGCTCCAGAACCACCAAACCACATTCTACCGTATTTTGTACGGACTGAGTCGATGTCAGTAACAATTGATAGAAATTAGAAAAATGACAACCTTAATCACAGACTCATATTTTTTCAAATTGGTATTCATCATGGACTGACATCAGAGGAGGGAACATTGGAAACCTGGGAGCACTGGACAGCTGTTTTGTCCTAGTATGAGACTCCTATATAGTGAGCACCCATAATCCTCCACCCACCCTTTTTCAACGATGGAACCCACTATCTTCAGGTCCCGTGACCAGCATGTCAACATTGAGCCACTGGGTCGGAACCAAATGGTCCTTACTCCCAGCCTCTGTCAGTTCACGACATAGCTCAACCATCACCCAATGTCATCGAGGAGTATTTGTCCACACTGCCACCAAGTTTGCCCCACTGGTCAAGACTACTCATTGGAACTTCAGGAATCACCTCTCGAAGCTAATTACCAATGCAAACTGGATGAATTTAATTTAGAGGTTTGTGGGGATTTAGCGATTTTTTAAGTTGGTATTCATCATCTAGTTCGCATTGGTAATTAGCTTCGAGAGGTGATTCCTGAAGTTCCAATGAGTATTCGGGATCAGTGAGGGAAACCTGGTGGCAGTGTGGACAAATACTCCTCGATGACATTGGGTGATGGTTGAGCTATGTCGTGAACTGACAGAGGCTGGGAGTAAGGACCATTTGGTTCCGACCCAGTGGCTCAATGTTGACATGCTGGTCACGGGACCTGAAGATAGTGGGTTCCATCGTTGAAAAAGGGTGGGTGGAGGATTATGGGTGCTCACTATATAGGAGTCTCATACTAGGACAAAACAGCTGTCCAGTGCTCCCAGGTTTCCAATGTTCCCTCCTCTGATGTCAGTCCATGATGAATACCAACTTGAAAAATTACTAAGTCCTTACAAACCCCCAAATTAAACTCCTATTTTCCCGGGTATATGAATTTGAATAATTCGGTGCTTCCGCTAGAATACCTATGAATGAGGCTACATTTGGTCTTCTATAGAGTGGAAGCAAGTGAGTAAATCGGTTATCATTAACGCACAAATTGATAGGCAGCTTTTGGATAACCCTGGCAACAGTAACAATTTAGCGACCTATTTCCAAAAATAAGCACTGATTAACATATACATGTTTCGAGAAAATAAATAAGTGCAGGAACAAATAGCTATCCGACCTCAATTCAGTGAATTGCACAGATCTTTATAGTGTTACAAATGGATTAAAACCATAATAAATCTCATAGATTTAGACAAATACACCGACGAAACTTACCCAAGTCACGTGCTTTTTCAACTTCCATTTGTAGAATTTTATGCTGATGCCTACACAGACCTAGATATGATCAAAATTGGAAACAAGAAAACTAAATTGTAGAGTACAAGAAAAACAAAGATGTCAAAATGACAGATCACCATATAACCTCTTTGTTCATACTTGTTTCAATAATATTCATAGTTGGCTTTCATTAGAAAACTATCCTTATCTATTCAGACAACACCTGACTTCATATTTCCATGGTAAGGTAAGCAACAAACTAGTGTGATAATGAACAGTCCACTTTGGCTTTTATTAGCTGGTATACTTATCGCTAAATTGGGAAAGAAGACGAAAAGTACGCTACGAAACGTTACTTTTGCTAAAGGCTACCTGAATTATACTGTTGTTATAGGTCACATAGCCAAGAGTCAACTAATGATTTCATTGCTTTACTTAACTTTATTCTTCCGATCATGGATGTGTTCTGAATATTTCATTCCCGGGGTGAAATGATGGAACAATCAAAAGACTGATATTTCACAACCAAACATGGAATGGAAAATATCTTCATTTTGCTAGCCCTGTTTCTATTGGGTACACAATTCTTGGTTATTTTTCTTTATTCAAGAGTTTGCAAAATAAGTAAAAATGATACGCTGGATAATGAAATGTTACAAATACACCTAGTATGATTCAATAATAGACATCAAGAAAACCCTACTGTTAGATAGTGAATACAAACTATCACTGTAAGAACATGTACCGTAACAAAGAAAGCTGTTTTCGATTACATAAAGGCGAATGTATCATGCAGTCGACAAATCACAGGTCTTAATTAGCTACTAAACACACTTACAAATAACGATAATAAATAATGCAACTTGATGGCCATTGATCTACCAGACATACTCGTCATGTGAGGAGTGGACATTGTAATCGACATTGTTGATAAGAATGGATATAAGTAGTATATGTTGAGAGGGCTGCAGGAATCATTGGCAATTACCAGTAACAGGTAAGGATCCTACCCAGAGAAACGCAAGAGACAATGGGGGCGTATAAAGAGCAAATTAAGAGGGAAGCAGAAGAGGTAATGAAGCGCATTATGAAAATGGTCTCAGTCCAAGGTGTACCACATTTAACGACTACTACATTCCTTCTTTCGTCTTGGACTTCTCATTTCCTACAGACAGTACTTATGACACCTCAGTAGATGAGATGTACGCATTCATGACCTAGTGTACGTCACGTGCCCCAACAATGAGTCATATATCTACAGTAAGTCTGAATTTTTCGAAAAACACACTCAAAACACGAAAAATATTTTTCGTTTGGTCAGAAGGTGAGTGCTTAACAGTACTTCGATGTGATACAATGACTAACGGGTCAATCTGATACTCCTCCGAGCTTGTTCGCAATGCAGTTTGAAAAAATATTTTGCACTATTTTACACCAACAATACTACTTAATAGGACCGTTGGTATCGACAGTTCTAAGGAAACCTGAGAGACATATGATGAAAACATATAATGCGGTGGGTCTATTAATTTCGATGAAAAAAGATGGTGAAAACGAGAGACCCTAGAGTCTTCCACAAATGGTAATTGACTAAATATTCTTCAGCGTAATTTGTAGGGGGATCATGTTTCCCCAAGCTGTTCAGGGAACTTTATTTTGAAGGGAACAATAAATTGTCATTACGTTGTGCACCTGCCAAATGGTGCTCCAATACGGGTCTGCAAATACTCCCAGTTTAATGATGGGGTGGAAAGTGGTGAAATGTATCGATCACTTCACTCACTCGGGAAGTTGCACTAGCCCACACGAAATACCAGTTCGGATACAGAAAACTCGTTTGGCATCTGCCAACTAGCGTCATCTCTGGCGCCAACTGGCGAGATATTCGACTATCTATCAAAGGAAGAGTATACTGCGCAGTGGTCTGTTTTTTCCTGTTATACAGCTGAGACATGGCTGTTAAAAATAGATTTGAAGCAGCTACAGGGTTTTGATCGTAGATATCTTCTTGGCATTGCTTGCGTTTGGTAAGCAATGTGCAGGTCAGGAGAAAGGTAGTAGGCACGACGGGTAAGCCGTTTGATGAGACTGTGAACCTTAGTCGACAGAGATGGCTTGCATATGTTTTGCACATATCGAGTAACCGCCTACCTCAACGTGCAATGCTAGCGGAAGTTAGATTGGGTTGAGAGATGGCTCAAGGTGGCCATAACATCGTATGGTGCGAGTCAATGAAATCTTCGACGTTTGGTCTGAGTCATGTGGAGAGATGTAAACTACCTGGTTGGGGCGTACGAGATCATAGGAATGAGTGGTTGAGGACTGTTGGCGACATGGCCGAAAATCTATCACACTAGCGCAGATGCATTCACTCTTTGAAGCCTTGTAAGGTTTGAATATTTTCGCCAACCTTTATCTCCAATTTTTTTATTCTTTCATACAACTTTGTTTACTTTGATATCACTCTTTTCTATCCACTTGTTTGTTGTGGACTACTGTGAACCGATACACTTGTGTGCAAAGTTCTACGTCGATTTTATTTGCCTACCTGTCTGTTCCTTGAAAAAAGACCTTATTGCTTTTGTATACATGTAAAAATTTACTTACCAGTATCTGAAGGTGGGATAATTTGCAGTGTGTCCGGATTTAAAAAATGCTTGAGAAGTTCAATGTGCTAAAATAAAAACAATAGGAAGAGAAATAGTTGACATATCTTCTATATAAGCAAACATAAAGGTTAGGGTCAGTGGATTCATGACAGGAAATTCTGCACTTAACAATGAACTGAAGACTTAGTAGTGAAGTTTGATTCTCAGCTGTGAAAACCAAGGTTAAACAGTAACTCATTGCCCAGCTATATTTGCGAAATACGAAATTATGACTAAAATAGTCCTACTGATTATTTTATAAACTTGTTAAAAAAAACCAATCGAGTGAAATTAAAACTCTGTAGAAACAAATCAAATAATCAAAATGAGATGTTTTACATTTGTAGGTGAGAACATGCCTAACAACTTACTTGATGATGAAGAACCAAATACTCATCACGACAAATAGGGCATGGATTCGAGCTGATCAATTTTCCATTATGCTTTGAATCATCAACGAGATTATTGCGAGAGAAAAAATGATTAGAAATAAACAGTTAATAGATGAAACAGATTAGTAGAAATGAAACTATTAATATGAAAAGAAATTTCAGTGCTCCAATGATTTGTATTCTATCTCAGGTGTCAAACGGTAATGCGATTATCAAAAGAGGAATAATAACTTTCACTTTTGCCCCGGAAACAGTATTTCAACAAATTTACTGTAAATTAATTCACTACATGTGCTTACGCACTCTAGTTGTATGAGAGCTCATGATACCACCTAGTTGCCTAGACCAAAACAGATAGAGTGCGGTTCGAATCCCGAGAAAACTATTGCTTGGAAGTGGAGTTCATACGCCAATCATCCAAATCATGACACGAAAATATAGTATATTTGTCTGATGCTTCGTTAAGTGATATCAGTTAGCAATGAACCATTTTCCAATAAAAAAACTCTCAACAAATCATATAACTGGACAACAATCTACAGTTTACCAGCGACTAACTTTTAAATTTTGATAGGAAGTTATGTCGGATAACCTTACTCACACGAAAAGTGACAGAAGATACTGGTCATTGAAATTACAAGACTGGTGCATCATAGCGCTAATTAATACACCAGAATTCCTGAAATATGAGGAATTTAATCAGAAATCAATTAGAGCTATGTATCGATAAAATCAGAGTGCATAACTGAATTGTTGTCACGTATAAATTGTCTGATGTTGTATGTCCCATACAATATATCGTAATTAAATCAACAAATTTAAACTCAAATGTTTAACTAATTCACAAGTTACTAGACGGTGCTAAGCCCGGATAAAGAGGAAAAGTTGGGCATAGGTCTAGCAACCCTACCCCATGAAACCAATCCAGTTGCTAAACAAACTTCATACACAAAGAAAATATGAAACATAAAATTAAACTTATTCCTCGCTGGAATCGGAGAGACGAAATGACGCCAGTTGGTGAAAGCCTTCAGGAAGCCAATTGGCCGATGTGTCTTCTCTCTCTCTCTATGAAAGCAAAAGTAAACATTGGGGTTGGGGCTGGCAAGACTTCTCAGTTTGCAAAAGAGATGAGAAGGTATGGCGTAAAAATGCTACGCTGGGAATCTGTGAAAGCAGATGGAATGGAAGTGGACTCTCCAAACTATCAACTGGGAAGGAGTCAATAATCTACTCGAATATTGTCAACCAGACGACAACCACGAGCACACTGAAATCTCGAGTGGTTATCATGATGTCCCCAACAGCATCAAAGGCTCTCTCTTGTGTAGTGGGAACACATCTCCTCCACGATCAGGATCATCACAGCAAGATGGATTCAACTTAAAAGGAAGGAAAGTCACAATCATACAGTGAGTGCTACGCTATCCACCTACAAACAATGCAGATGAAGAGAAGAAGGAGGAATTCCACAGACAACTGCAATCAGCACTGGGCAAGACACCTCCCCAGTTGGCGACATCAAAATTCGAATGGGTGGGTGACATGAATGCCAAACTGGGAGGGGACAACACAGGAAGAGAACTGATCATGGGTCAAGAAGCACTCGGTGAAGTGATGAACGAGAATGAAGAACCGTTTGCAGACTTCTGTGCATTCAACGATTTGGTGATTGGAGGTAGTGTGTACAAACACAAGGATATTCACAAAGCAGTGGCATGGATTTGATTTCACCAGACACCAGGACACACACTACACTAAAAATCAGATCGACTTCATCTCAATGTGAAGAAAGTGGAGACGCAGTCAGCCTACTGGACACGAGATCAGATGGAGAAGGGGAGTAGATGTAGGTTCACACCATTCACTATCTAGTGCAGGGAACCTACCCTGAAAATCAAGTTGAAAGCCTTCAAAGAAGTTGTTGATCGACCACAGTTCAAGTTGAACACCGGGAACAGAAACTGAAAGACGAGACAACAAAGCACATCTTCACGTCATCAGTCATCAGAACAAAATGGGGGATATTGTGCAACACCTGTTAAGAAACCTGTGTGGATCAACACTGGAAATGTTTGAAAGCAAGGTGGAAGGAAACCTGCATAACTGTGTTAGGGGGAAAGAGGAGCAAGACAAGGCAAGGAATGGATCTCCAAGGATGCATGAAAGCTGATAGAGCAGGGAGAGGAAGATGGTGAATCTTAAGTTGAACCAGTGCAGTGCAAGGATGAACAAAGAAAAGAGGAATTGAACACAACCTATAAAACACTACACTGGACAAGGAAGTGAAGAAGAGTGGGTGGAAAGAGAAAAGACACTTCTACGACACATTGGCACTTTGAGCAGAACAGGCTGTTGATAGGAAAGACCTGATAACATTATATTAAATAACCAGGCTACTGTCTAGGAGGGAAGAGATCAGAACAGGTGAAACCAATGAGAGATAGTGAAGGAAACTAAGTTACCAAAGAAAGAAACAAAGGAGACGATGGGCTGACCACTTCAAAATACTCTTGAATCGACTATCACCAACACCACCACCACCACCACCATCTGCAACTCGTTCAGAAATACGACCAGCGATCGCAGAATCGACGACAGTGAACGCAAGCCTTTCGACGAAAGCAGAAATGAAGTCCTGAACGCCAAAAAGTTGCTGAAATCCGGGAAAGCAGCAGAACCAGATGGAATTCCGCCAGAAGTACTGAAAATAGACGCAGAGACAACAGAGGACACATTCACACCACTACTGTAGACGGTTTGCAAGGAAGGAAGGAAGGACAGGTAGCTGTCCATTGATTGCAAGAAGGGCTAGTTTGTCAAACTTCTAAAGAACGGTAACCTAAGCCTTTGCAAGAACTGGCACGGAGTCATGCTCCTATCCACCCACACCAAGCAAAATATTATGCCGCATCATACTGGGGAGAATAAAACATGCACTGGATTCAAAATTACGACCGAAACAGTCTGGCCGGCTGGCTGGCTGACTTCAGGAAGAACAAATCATGTGTGCATCAAATTGCAACACTACCCTGAGCATCATCATAGAACAGAGCATAGAATGGCAGTCAACTGTCTACCTCAACTTTATCGATTTTGAAAAGGCCTTCGATAGCCTCGATTGAGAAGTAATTTGTCAGTTGCTCCAACATTACGGAGTATCACAAATCTTTATCAACCTCACTCAACAGCTATATGAAGACGCCACATGCCAAGTGATCCACAGTGGAAGGCTCAGTGACGCCTTTGAAGTGAAAATAGGGGAAAGATAAGGCTGCCTACTATCACCGATAACCTTCCTGATTGTGGTCGACTGGACTAGATCATGCAACTAACTGTAAGGAGCGAGAAGATGGGCATGCGTCGGCTGGACCGAGGAAAAGAGCCTAAAAGATTTGGATTTCGCCGATGATGATATATGTCTAATGTCTTGTCGCACAAACTCGAAGATCCACAGGCAAAAACTAACAAGTAAACAGAAGAGGTATCGAAGATGGGACTTCAAGTGAATGTAGAGAAGGCAGAGGTAATGAAGACACCCAATCACCATCAACGGGAGAAATCTAAAGTATGTTGTCTCTTTCTCCTACCTGCCTAGGCACCATCGTTTACACTTCAGGCGGCATAGACGAGGACGTCGAAACCAGGATCGGCAAAGCAAGACAGACTTCCATTAATCTGAAGTCACTGTGGAGATCTTCTGCACTCAGCATTAAGCGTGAACGACATCCGGATTTTCAACACTAATTCAGTCAAGCCAGTGCTTCTATGTGATGGTTGCGAGACTTGGCGCGTTACGAAAAGCATTTCCAACAAACTACAGACATACACCACATCATCAGCTGCCGCCTGTGCTCACTCGATACTGAAGATCAGAAGGCCAGAATAATAAGAATATGCAACAAGGAACTCACTCTGGCTGGCAACGAACCAGCCAAGAACCTACCACCCAACAAAAATGCAGAGGATGAAAGTGGAGATGGATTGGGCATACACTGAGAAGGCCGAGTGAGGACATCACGCGCCAGACCCTAGAGTGGAATCCAAAAGGGAAACGACGAGTTGAGTGTTCGAGGCGAGAGTGACATGGAGGAGATCGTGTGAGAAAGAAATGAAAGCTTCCGGGCAGTCGTGGAGTGAGGTTCAAGACTGCAGAGAAGAGAGTGCAATGAAGGTGTGCTACTGAAGCCATATGTTCCACTAGGAACCCAAGGGACAAATAATAATGATAATAGATCAACAAATCTGAAAGTTTAATAAATCTCTTCGGGCTATAAGCGAATTAGTAGTTTAAGTAATCGAGTACCAAATCGTGGAATTCGAAGCTAACATATACCAATTACAGTCATTCACACTCTTAATTTCTCTCTTATACTAGATCATATTAATCAACCTCTTTTAGTATATGAGATCCTGTGCAGATGCTACTACATTACTTCAAGTTTCATTTTGATATTAATTACCTGGTGATAACTAGTAGTGGAAGCCAGAATGTGTGTTTCCTCCCACTTGGGACCCGTCGGTTGGATGTGCCTACCCCCCACCACAGTGACTGATGGTGTTTGAAGCGGTATGTCCTGGGTTCGAGTTTCAGTGGGAACGTCACTTACTAGGATGCAGCTATTGACATCTAGTGAGCCTTAAATAGTACATGCGTATCATGGACTTCATCATTATTCAACATCAACTAAAACACAATTCTTATACTTCGTTCTACTCTACCATTGTTGTAAGGCCCGAGTTTGAATAAAACGTTGTTATCTATCTGAAGATTTTTAACTTGGCATTTTCACACCATTTTTATGATATGACTAGTAGTTTCTTTTCTGCCCCCAATGTAATGTAATTCGCTGATTGATTTGCCTATACTCTAAGTATCCCAATGTCTCCAATTGCGGACAAGGTTATATCTCATGTGCATACATATTCACGTGTTTTTGGATTGATTATTATTAAATTCTTGGAGGATAAACTCTCTCATCATCCAGCTTCGATCTTCTCTCTGTTCGTCCCGGGTTGTAGTCGGCAGCTCTTGCGTACGAAGTTAGCTGTCAGTTAAGCGTGTGTACCATATCCGTCTGGAACATATAACAGTTGGCGACGGAATATATAACAATCATATGACATTATTAGCTCTTGCACGCACGGTTGATGAGTTTAAAACGTGGTGAAACGGGTATTCTGGCCATCGCTAGTGGCATTTACAAAACAAACAATATTATCATAGACCTCTTGACAATATCGAGGTAGTCGTAAAAGGAACCGAAAGGCTAGCGGAAGCCGCTGACTTGATTTCATCACTGGGGAGAACAGGAAATGCTAAATGAAAAAGAATCATCTGTCGTACAACGCATGACTTGCGACTCAAAAAGCCAGTTGTTAACCCTTCAGAGTTCGCAGGGATTGGTTCCGAGTTAATGTCCCTATCAGAATCGATACATTTTTTGCTACGTGATTTAGATAAACAATAAGAATTTCTAATGTGCCCATAAAGCTGACAGCTTGGAGCATGAACTCGTAGATTGTAACACAATTCCACATGTTTCCTACGGTAGATCCAATGATCATATTGACAAGAAATTTGCATAAATTTTATGAGCCTAGAACACCATACTGAGTTATGAGTTTTGGAAATTTCGTTTGATACATACTTCATCTTTTGTGTCGCAGGTTAATCGAGTTTAGTCTGTAAAACCAGCGAAATGTTTTACAACTTTTTACTTTTCTTTTTGTTTAAGAACTGAAAACAAGTTAAACGATTTAAAATTTCCCCGAAAAAATGTACACACTCAAGAAAACCTATGACAAAAGATGTTCAAATAATACAAGAGGATATCACAAACCTTTACTGCATTACGAAAAAATAATACTTAACAGATTTAAAATTGTTAGACATACGAAGCAATTTTTTCTTGTCAAGCGTGGAGCCATATGTCCTCTGTGGTTACGCCTGTAGTAAAACCATACAGGTCTCCCCTTGTATATATTTCTAAACACTAGAATTGAATAAAACAAATTATGCACATGCCATCAGAATTCAAATACTGTAAGCTTGTTGCTAAATCGACTGGTCTGTATGGTTTGCCTCTGTAATTTCTACGAATATCATTTTCTCGATTGGCAACTGTTTCTTTTTCAATCTTGCTTGTAGCTGCCTCAGTATTCGTACAGTAGTGATGTAACAGAGGAACCAAACGCGTACCGAATTCATATGGTTTTCGCCTACCAACGAAATTATTCACAGTGAGTTTTATAAACCTTGAGATTGGAGGGAACTAAAACGTGAATAAATGAAGTGCTTGTCTTAGTTTTATTATTTTGATAAAAAGTAAACTACATGAACTGTGGAGTAAAAATCATAGGATTTCTCGGCAAAATCTAGGCAGATGAATCACACCGAACTCCATCATCACAATACAGAAAAAAATCCAGTATTGAAATATTTAAGCATGTAGTGTTAAAAATTAAGGAGCATTAAGGTAACCATACGACAGTCAATAAGTTTTAAGATCTAAACATCAAAAAACGCTTAAACTGAAGCATATCGCACTATCCTCAAAAAGTATGAACGATAATTTACCAACTACTAAGTCACCTAAACCTACTGTGCACTCACAGAATGAATAGCCAATACTTACATAACAAGTACCACCTTTTGCCTTACGAAATTGTAAACCTAGCACAGAAAAGTGCTGCTCCGAAGCCCATGCAGATAAGGCTATTGTATAGAAGATCGTCGTAAGAGTAAAACTGAACTCACGTGGTGAGTCAGTACATGAATGAAAGTAAACAAACAGAGTGAGTTAACACGAGGCGTGTGGAAAGAAGCACTTATGCATGAATGCCAAATCCACGACAGTCATACTTCAATCAAATAATGCATAAACATACAAAAGAGTAGGACAGAGTGGTATTACAAAACACTATAACCATGATAACGATAATCAACTGAGTAAGAATCAGCAAGGGCTAGTGAGAGCCAGATAATTTATACAGATGTATCGTCAAAAGAATCAATTAACCAAATGATAATGCGTTAAAAAAGGGTTAGTAAGAGGAATCAGCACCTACGCAGATAGCAGTCATAGGTATGACAAGCTGCAAAGACACAGAAGGAGAGATGACTCAGTCAAACAGACAGGTAATATCAACATAGGACCTGACACAAATGTGCAACGGTTCGTTACCACACCTCATATCAGCAGATCAGGGGAGAAGGCATGAAGATGAAGGGTAAAGAAATAAGGAATAAAGCAGTAAAAATCATAGGGTTGTGAAAAGAGTAGGGAGGAATGAGACAATGGTAAGATAGAGTAAAGCGCTTAAGATGAAGATAATGGGTAGAAACATCTGCATAACTGCGACTCGTCATATCATCTATAAAATTTGAATCCACCCAGCAACTTTATGCATATTCATGCAGTAGACAACAAGGCATGCCTATTGTGTGAAGGCTAACGATACAACGTAGCTGCTCAAAGCTCGGTAGATGGAGGGGGATTTGAACCTGTGACCGACTGACTGAAATCAAGTGACGAGACCAATGAGCTATAGCTTCACCAAGTCACCTAGTCTTCAAATACCGGCTCTTGTTGTCATGCAGACCCCTACCAGGAAGCCTAAATTTGCCTACACGTCTCAGACCAACACTCAAAGACTTCAGGGACTTATATCATGCCATGTCATGTCTAACCACCTCTAACCTTTCTCCAGCCTAGATCTACTTCAGCTAACATCGTGTGATGAGACTGACGGTGACTAGTCATGCGTAACACATGTCCCAGCCACCTGTGTCGATGAAGGTTCACAACCTCACCAACAGAATTTCCTCTCCTCCCTTGACTTCTGCATTCCTGACATGAAGACTCCACGATACATGGTCTATGCTAGGAAGACAACGCTGGTCAAGTATCTGAAACCTTCTCATATCCTCTACCCTCGATGGCCATGTTTCACAGTCATATGGTGGAACGCAGCGAAATACGCCACAGTGCACTCGACCCTGAATGACGATCGGATATCCCAGAGGCTCCATAAATGACGTAGTCTGGCGAAAGCCAAGCAAGCCTTACTTATCCGTGCAGAGATTTCAGGCATCACTAACTCAACAAGTCTGATCCAACTACCAAGGTAATTGAAGTGGTCAACTCATTCTACCGATTAACTCTTTATTGTTGGACAGAGAAGCACTTAAGGACATCTCAAGCAAAAAATTTGGATTGGGTGGCGATAAACGCATCCCAAACATATTCAACCCGCCATCCAAGGTGCTCACAAGACTATATCTTGTTAAACTATGTTATGTGATTACTCTAGATCCAATAAAGATCTTCCTGTAATGAGATCAATCCCTGTGAAACTAGACTGTGAGACGGAGACCTCAATGAGTACGTCTGTGGTAAAAGTAAGTGAGAATGTCCAGTGGACATTCTCGACAGACACTACGAGACGTACATAGCTCACCTGATAACACAATAGGCTCTAACACGCCCACGTGTGTTCCAGTATAGAGTCCACAAAACAGTAATGTACATACACGACGCCCTTTTCAATGACATACTGTCATAAGATCTCTCAAACGACGGAGTCGGATGCTGTTTGTAGTCCAAGCAAGCAATAAAGTTATTCTGGTGTCCGTGTTTGTTTTAGAACCTGGTGGAGTGTCGACCTAGTCGATACCCCTATGACTACGCCTGAAGCCTGGCTGATTTCCCTCAAGTTGGATATTTCCAAGTCCCACTAAGGCATCGAATGACAATAGAATATAAGATCTTATACACTATGTTCGTTAAACTGTTTGCCCCGCAGTTATAACACGAGGGTTCCTCTTCTTTCTTAAAGAATGGGGCAATCATCGATTGAAAGTAGTCAGAAGGGATCATAGCTGATTCTTATATATTAGTTAACACTAGTTGATCTAGCCGAAATTCCTCGACCATCGTCTTTAAATACCACTGGTATCAGCCATGCTGCACTTCTTCGTTTCAGGTTATTGATGGCCTTCTTAACTTCTGAAAAAGTTGCAGGGTCTATTTAGATGTATTCGATGCAGTATCCAGCTGGATAATGGGCAACAAAGTAGTAGCTGGAGGCCAGATGATCAGTTTCCATATTTTCTGCCTACCGTTACGGTCGCCTCATCTTTATGCGAACAAGTGCTTATGAAACAGCTGCACGACCAACGGTTGGGTTATTACTCTCTGAACCGGTCCAAATTCTACCGTCAAATTAGTCGATATCTTAAATTCTTAATCATCAGAACCTCGACGAAAAATAATAAGTATATGCCTTATGCCTAAGAAGATTTGCTAACTAAATCTTCGAAAATACCCTGGCCTTAACCTGTATCTCTGTACTTTTAAGTGAAAAATACGAATTAAAAAGTGAGTTTATTCCATGTGATATTCTAGCGATAAGCCTCCTGATAATTACCATATATGACGCAATCTGACGTGATAAGAAGTCTAGTTTGGCGTAACGAAAATTACGTAACGTCATCATTTATTATAAACGCAGTCACGTCGATAATTCTAAAATAGCTCTTCCTTTCATCTCGTAGATCCAAAAAAGACATCTTGATACGATTCTGACATGAAGAAAAACGTGATCGGAGAAATGAATAACAAGAAACCAGGCGACGACATAGGATTATAATTTCTATCGAAGACTAAAAGTAAGGTATCACTGACTATATATATATATAACCTTTTCCGAGTCTTTACCCTCGAGCTGACCGACTGTAGTTCGGATACAAAGGATGGGTTGTCAAAACCTGTCAACTTTCCCAAATAAAGCAAGACGTTTAGACATATATTCATAGTAGCAGGCAAATTCGATTTTCCAGTAGGCGAGCTGAGTCAAACAAAAAGAAATGCCGAAGGTATTTATGGGATTATAAGTCAACGAACCGACAACAGTAATCATCTCTCACAGTTTTGTTCCGAAAATCACTTCCATCTGGTCAGCACTAACTTCATACATAGGGAGACAGTCTCACTCCACGTCCACCAATATCAAGGCCACAGTGGATAAATCCTAACGCTATAAGCTATTGCTAGAGGGAAATGGTGAAGGGTTGACGCCCTTTTGGAGTATCGGCATGGAATCCGATAGTGAAGTATTATGGGTACGCCTGTTTGAAATTAAATGCAAGCAGGAAACAAACAGCAGTAATGACTCAGTGTGAACCATTGGAAGATGAAAACAAGTGTATGTTTGAAAAGATAGCAAAGCACTGGTATGAACATAATCAACGCTCTCAGCCTATGAAACCTGGTTTAATATTTAGTCTGCAATGACAAAGACAATTAGGAACCTGAATCGAAAGGTAACCAAAGCCATTATATCTCCGCAGCCTCATCTGAACCACTTGGTTCGGAAAGGTTCATTCCACCCGGCTATGATAAGGAATGAAAATAGCTCAAACGTGAGATAACTAAGTCTTTATAATGAACACGAGCAACAGTAAGTGGCCAGAGCAAAAGATATAGAAAAGTCATTTTCATTAGGTAATAATCCGCAGTTATCTGGGTTTATTAGGGAAACTGACACGTAGGAGACACTGGACAGTGAGGTTATAACGGAAAAGGATGAGTGAGTGATAGTCTCTTAGGACAGAGAGCAGCAGTGCAGTAGTTCGACTGACCTATAGCCACGCTTCAGTTGCCTAACATCTAGTTAGGGTCTGAATAGGACATATATTTTGGTCCTCAAACACTATTCCAAGTTGAAAAGGCTGCCTTCAGCCTGAAACAACCCAAAACAGCAGGATCTGACAGTGGTGCCGCCTATCAGCGTATCTACAACTGGCCGCAACTAGAGTATAAAGAAGACAGTTTTTTAAGACGAAGACGCTGACAGACGCAGTCTACTCAACACTTTAATTAGAAAACGGAGTACCTTTGGTAAACGCTTTGCACCTCCCAACCTGTTGACCACTTCACTCAGAAAGTGGCAACAGCCTAAATGAGATGGTTTCTGATGAAATTCAGACTCAGGTTGGACAGGTTTTTTGACAGTTATCAGCTTTCACCACTCACAGCATCGATGAGATATTCAAGTATATATCAAAACATGAGTACACTACAAAATATTATCTTATTTTACGAAGTCACTTTTGATACTAAATATAGAGGCATTCACTCAATCAGGGACCAAAAGCCGTAATCAAAAGAGAAGTAAAGTGGGTAAAAGTATGATGAAATGAGGTAGCTAAGTTAATGTGTAGATGCATCTATGACACTGAGTTCGAAGATGTTATATGGTTCTAAACACAGGTTTCTGTAGCATTGCTTCCGTGTTGCGGTATGAGACTTTCATGTAATGAGTAGGATACTACACAAGAAAGAAAAGCGGGTCATCGATTTTAAGAACCTTTAGGGACTGAGGCGGCTTGGGTACGTCAAGCATATTGGGACACTCTACATACTTTGATTCGCCGCGTTGGACAAAGTCGGATATACTTGGAAGACTAAGGAAAGCAAGAGCAAGAAGTAACATGAATCCACTAAGTCTTTGACTGCTGGTCTATGAGAGGCGCCATGGATAAATACATTCTCTAACATCTTACCCAGCTAGCATTTACTTGGGGAGCACTTTGTGACATTCGGGCAAAAACCCTATAATTTTACTTTGGGCGCATTTAGGGCGACGCACGAATTCCCCCGAATGTTCCAAACCTCTTACCCGAAAGTGTCAGAAGTCGTAAAGTGCGCCCGAAGTTATAGTTCCTATAGGAGCTATACACATTTTCCTTTACCCTAGATGGACATGATACCAAGCCAACATGTCTATCAGGCCTAGATTTTCCCACTTGGAAAAATTTGGATTGCTATCTATTCGGTTTTAATCACCAGTGTCGCTCAAAAGTTATTGACTAAAGGTTTAGTCAATGTTGACCGTCACTTCCTGAAATGAAGCGATAAACGGTCAAATAAAAGGATTTCTCTCATTTATTTCTTGAATAACGAAAAAAGAGGAAGTTTTTGGTTAACTTCAAACTCCAAAGACGCGGTATCCTACCCTATGCAGAAAACTCATCCCGATCAGTAGCGCATTTACTCAAAACGAAACGTCCCGTTTCAATTCAACAACCAACATCTATTGTGCGAGTAGAAGAAACTTGCAGTTTTTGAGCTCTCACTTCCAGGTTTTGAGGCTTGGTTCTTTTTGTTCGGTCGTATTCCTTCGATGGTCGCAGAAGTCTGTGCGTTTTCCTGCTTATAGCTTTAGAGGCAGTGTTTGTCTATTTGAAGGTGTTTTATTTGCAAATTGTAACTTGGTTTGTTTAGTGGGAGACAACGGAGCTGTTAATAAGATCAGTCAACCGTTTGCGATTCCTGTTGTTGTGGGCACCTGCAAGCAAGTGTTAAGCGTTACTTAAATAGTGATAGAAACGAGGTGAGTGGGGAATGAGAAAACGAGAAGTGAAAAGTACTTTTGAAAATATAAATGTGACTGGTAATAATATAGAGGAGAGATGCGTCACACTGCAGATACTGGGGTTGGGGAATACAGGGATGGGAGGGCGTATCATCGGTTGCTACCAGCAAATGTTCGTGGCAAGCCATTTGCCTCACATACTCATCTAGGAGTCGTTTGAAGGAGCTGGCTGATGTGGCTATGGTCAATTCTTTCGGCAGTGCGCTTCATAAGGCACGTACTCTATGGCAGAAGAAGCTAGATCTCACTTTCGTTTTGCCCTATGCTGGGGTATGCGAATGGGGTTCCCACGGGGTTGTCCGTTTTGGACCGATAATGTCATCCTATTTGGGTGGTCCACGTGATGAATGATCTTGTAGGCTGTTATCATATCACCTCGTTTTCTTCGTTAGCTTAGCGTGAACAAGTTGAGTTGTCTGAAGTGTTGCGCATGCGTTTTGCCTGTTAGTCCGGCAACCAACTTTGTTGCTCTTCTTTGTACCTTCTTCAGAGAATTCGCGTCGCTCTTTAGTAGTGGAGGGGCTATCGTGTTGAACACCTGTAGGTATGGTCTAATGTAAATTTGAATACCATGAGGAATAACTCTGGGGTTAACAATCCAAGTTTCTTTCTTGGAAAGTGCATAGTGGCGTTAGCATTTGCCGCCACTCCCTTATAAATACCAGTAGTATCCATTGTGTCAGAAAAGTTTAGTCCTAGGCACTTCTCCGTGGATACCTTAGTGAGTGCACGCTTGCTAGGAGGGAAGTTGATTTTCATTGCCTCTGGAGCACGAGGATACATCGCCTTGCACTCCTCCAGATCAAACTTAAACTGTTCGCGGCTAACCAGGACTTCAGCTGCAACAATTTACAAATTGTACGAGTGGAAGTATTGTCCTCGCATTAACAAAAAACCAGGTTTGTACCCAGACAATACAGGTACCGCCTAGAGAAAAACAAAGCTTGCAGCTAATACTTCCACTGTAACAGTTTGTACTTTTTGTTTGAGATAATGATGAAAAGTTTATGAATTGTTTACATATTGTACTTCACTGACGATTCCAGGACTGTATAATTCATCCATGTTAATACCATTCCACAACAAAGATTCATAATCTTGAAGAATATTATGACTGAAAGCCAAATATCTTCACTCTTCCACCAACAGACTTGTTTGAATGCACCAAATGGACTTCCAGAACATCTTGTCAGCCGTTTTCCCCGGTAGTGACAGCCTTGCAGTTGGTAAATGTTGGACTTTGCTGGTCACTTTTTATATGAGTTAATCCTAGGTTTTGGTAATTATGAAGTTGTAGTCCAGTGAACATTTTTTATTTCTGCTCGTTGTAGTTAAGTGTTCTGAACTTGCTAAAGCTGGTTACTCTCCATGAAGGGTAGTTTCAGCCATGGTCTGTTCCTTAACTGATTAATTCTCGATGGCAACAGAGTCAAAGTTTAGAACTGAATTATTTTTCTACAACGAGAAAAAACAGACAAAGCAGCAGGCGGAGAAAGCGAGAACTTCAACAAGGAGAGTGTTTTCTATGTCCATGTTTCTCCCTACTTAACTTCCCTTGCTATGGCTTTCATCGTATATCCTTCTTGGACAGAGTATTTTAAAACGTAAATTTCATGCTGTCATGTGATGTAGGGCTTCTGTTTTTGATTACCGCGTTGGGTGGGGCAGAATGTGCCGTTAGTTTGAGGTGGTAACTTACGGAAGTCTCCTCAACGCTTCGTATGAAAGGTCAGTGTAGGTGTGGTGACTGTCTCATCATACATTGAGAGAGCTGAGTATACGAAGTGTCGTGAAGGAGACTGTTGGTGTTTTCGATAGGCCGTAGAAATCACCAGATGATAAGAAGTCAGCTAGTAATTGACCAAATTCAGAAGTTGATTTAGAAGCCTTCACTTCAGCTAGAAGTCTGTTCCACAACTGAGAGAATCTGACGGTGAAGAAGTTCGCGAGCAAGCAGGACTAGAACGATTTCATTTTGATGCTATGGGCGTGGTTGCGCAGATCGTAACAACTGTTGTGTTCAAGCTTGAACTCACCACCGGCTGTAAACGTGTGTTTATGTAACACATTAAAGAAGAATGTCAGAGTGATTTTGAGTCGTCTTATCCAAAGTGTTTCCAGGCTTAGTGTTCTGCATCTGGAGCTGTAGTCCTGTTTGCGATCATATCCTAACAATCTAGCTGTGAAATACCTTTGGACACCCTCTATTTTATGTTTGTCTATTATGCGGATACCACTCAGTACAAATGGACAGTATTCTAATAGTGGACATACGCAAGTTTTGTGGAGTAGCAACTTGACTTCTTTGAGGTGTAAGTTACTAACTATGCAACTATCAGGGTCCTAGATTTGCGAGTCTGTGATGCTACCTGTTCAGAAAATGTGAGGTCCCTTGAATACCTTAGTCCAAGGTCACATACACTTTTATGAGCAGGAAGTTTCGTAGACTGTAGATGTAGTTGGATATCCACCTATGGAGCACCAAAACATATCCAGTAACATTTGCTTATATTGAACTGAAGTTTCCAAGCAGTAGACCATGCAGATATTATATCGAAGGATAGATGAGGAGATTTTGGTTGGGAGGTCGTATATGAATGGTAAAAATAGGGGTGTTCCAAGGATTGCTCCTTGAGAGACTCCTGTCCTTGCTTTCCTGCAGGTTGACAGAATAATGTTTACTCTAGTGCAGAGTTGTCTATCCTCTAGGTATGCTGTAAGCCATGCCAAGAGTGACCCAATAATGCCCACTTTTACTAGTTTGGCGAGCAAGTGCGGTGTGGGACACTATCAAAACCTTTGGACAAGCCCGAGAAGATAACGTGAACTCGTTGTTTGTTGTCCCAATAAAGCTTTGTTGAGTATCCTACCTATTATTTTGCGGGTGAGCATAGCATACTGAGAGATTCTGAACCCTCAAATCTAAGTTTTGAGGCTCAGTTGTTTTTGACTGGCCTAAATACTTTATTGGGGCATGGAAGTAGGTCCTAACTTCTTGCATTTCACGATTAAGACCCTAATGCGTGTTCAGCCTAATACAGAAACCTCATCGCGAGGTCTTAGTAAACAAGTGATAAATTACACAATGTTTTCACATTTTTTGGCAGATTCCATGTAGCAGATGCGATCACGCAAACATATCATGCCATTTAATCACGTCTAGGGTTGTGTGGGGGTTAGGACTTGAGTATTTTTATGTGTTTCATAATACTATAAAGTAAGCCTCCGATTAACTTGAGTTTTCGGTCAGGAGGAACAGATGGAAATATCCCCTGACACCAGAGTGAAACGTCGGCTCTCTCATGGACTGCAATTTTATTTAGGCCCCTTCAGTAGGTGCGTCACGGCAGCGCCATTTGCCGGATAACGTTCCGGACATAATTTGTTGCCCATATTCATATCAAGTCATATCCCGGAGTAAATGTGGACTTTGAAATGACCAACACATCGTCCAGTATAGCATGATACGGCTACACTGGGTGACATTTTTAATAAAGCGGCTGAAAGCAAATATCTTTTCTTTTATCGATTAGTGTGTAACGAAAAATTGATCTGAAAATCCCCCCTGACCACCCTACTTGATAGTATTGACATTTATTTGAATATGTTTTTACCCTCGTTATGGATGGTGCACCTTTGATCCTAGCCGGTGCAATGTCATTTGGTTGTTTAACTGTCTTCTTTGACTTTGTACTCAGTATTTGCCTTTGTATAATTGAGATTTATCACGAATGTTTCACTTGTCTATTATGTGACGCTGGACTGTTGACGGGGCGATGTTGTTTCGGTTCAACTTACGGTTGTACAGTGATTTGACTGTTTGTCTTTTGACTGTCTACTGGAAGCGCCTATTTGATGACTTGATTCTGGAGACAGAGTTTTGATCCCTTTTGTCAGGAATATTCTTATTGACTGTCAGGTACTTACCAATTGTATTTGTTTAACCAGTTTTTACCGTATAGTACGTATTTACACTGGAGAACGTTTGGACCGCATAGTTACCCAACTGCACCGTTGAGGTATTTTTGTAATTTTGGTATAGCTGATATAACTTACTGTTGCTTTGGCAGTACCACATATTTTGCAACGAATCTACCACTCATTTACTACGAACCGTGTTTTGATATTTGGACCTGATTTTTGACTGTGCGTCACTCGTGGAAGTTCCAAAGCTATACAGTAGAACGCAGGAATTAGATTCGCGTTAGATGACATCGCCTATTTATTTCCCGCTTTCAGGCCAAGAGTACTGGATTTTGCCTGTTATAGTACTCAACATAATGTCGCTGCTGTACCTCGCAAGCGCAAGGCGTTCCTTGAGTCAGTGCCGGGCGGAGAAGGTGACATGTCCATGGATCCACCCTCAGATGCCAAGCAAGTCCCTCTTGATGTTACTTCATGCCGTGGCTCTGATAACTGGACAATTATTCACCATAATAAGACTAGCCCTGGTAAACCTCTGCTGAATTGAAGGTACGAAAGTCGGATGAACGGTAAGAGTTAGGGCTTCGCGAATTCGAGGCTAAACAAAGATAAGAAAGGTTGCG